GCTTTGACAATCCTTCTGAAGTTCTTCTCTGGGGTAGACAGTGGACGCAAGTTAGCCCATCTAGCCCAACTAGGGCCTCATTGCAGTTTTGAATCAGAATTGAGAGGCGGGAAATTCCTTTACTCCAAGTCTTGAGTTTATATCTCAGTTTTTTCAACTTTCTGCATATATATGATGGCAGCACTATTTGTGGCGTGGCAAGGACTGTTCCAAGAGTTTGCGACCACATCGAGAAAACCTGAGTGATTGATCCAGTAGTTTTCAAAGCGGAAGATTTTGCTCTTGGGGGTCTTTGTTTCAATGGTGACAAGTTTTTCCTAGAGTCATCGCCGTAGCATTAGGATACGAGAGAGCCCAATTACTCGAAGAGAAAGCCTAATCAAGTTGTTCCAGCAAGAGATCCTCTTGCATATTACTCCAGGTGAATGAGCGCCCTTTTAGGGGAATTTCAACTAGTGCCTGAGTGCGGATTATGTCATTAAATAACATGATATCATTTAGTTCTCCTCCAGGTTAATTCCTGTTACTTACGGATCTTATGAAATTAAAATCGCCCACGAGGAGGCAGTCTTCGGAGTTCTGGATGTTCAGGTCATAAAGCCAAGAAGTGAAAGAATTCCTGTCTTCGCCATGTCACGGGCCATATGTATTGAAAAGCTTCCAAACATTTCCAGATAACTTAGAAGCAAATTCAAAGGCAGTGCTCCAGTTCGTTGTGTCAACCCTAACCACTTCCATCCGTCAAAAAAAAAAAACCTAACCACTTCCATAATGTTCAGAGGGACCAGTGTCGATTGGCCATGTGGTCTTCAGAGCATGAGCAACAAACAACAACTGCAGTTTCTTGCAGAAAAGAGTAGCATTCATTTGTTGGGTTGCCAAATCAAATGCTGACTATTCGCCCTGAAATTACATTGAGATGTATAAGTATGTTTTTTCCTTCATATAAAAGATCCTTGATTTGCTTGTACTAGTATGATCTGCTTGATTGCATATTAACCAACACAGTTAACGGAATCGATGTCTGCTCTGAATTCTGATACATGCTCCTGGCCAAAGCTAGGACGTCAAGTAGTTTCAAAACCTAGTACAAATTGCAGCAAACTCTATGAGCTGCTCATCTTCACCTGCGGCGTCGATGAGATGCGCATCTCATCTTGGGTTAAGAAATCTATATATGGAGGCAGCGCTCAAGCTCCTCTGTCTATCAGAGTAGAAATCAGGCCACCTCACCTGTGAACTGCTAGGGCTATGCCGATCTAATAAAGCTGAAGAACTACATAATGCCACACTGGCAGCGCGATGCATAGGGTGCAGGAGCATGACAGCCGAAACTACAGCCTGCGGCGCGTGGAAGCCCCCCGGGGCAGCGCCGCGGCGATCCTGAGGCATCAACGCACGTCGGCTGGCATCAGGGAAGAACTGCTCCCAGTTGCAGGCGGCCATATAATTTGGTAACAAACTCTTTCCAGCTGAGATCAACATACTCCCTCTGTAAACTAATATAAGAAAGTTTAGATCACTAAAGTAGTGATCTAAACGCTCTTACATTAGTTTAAGGAGGGAGTAATGAATAGCACAAATAAAAATATAGTGCATAGCAGATCCATTCATGCTGGCAACAACAACTGCACAGAAAGATGGCAAATACATTCATGCTGACAGCAACAACCACAACAACAACATAATGCATAGTTTCATGTGAAATTGCAGTTGGACGAAGCAGAGAGAAAATGAAAAATAAGGTCAACACTACGTAATTCGATCTGATGCGTCTATCCACATAAAACTTGTCGTACTACTTGAGGTTTTTCATGTGAAAAATGTGAGGTCAGGCGCAGCCAACCTTAGCAAGCGTAACACAGCTCGGCAAATAGGTTTTTTAGCTGCTGCCAGTTCCTTGCGACAGCACAAAGTCTAAGCTTGGCTCCAAATCAATTCCTGCCACGTCATCCACTTGCTGGCGCCAATTGGCTTCCCGCCTTCGCGCCCTTCTTCTGTTCTACCCCCTCTGTTCCATAATCCCATAATGTAAGACTTTTTTGACACTAGTGTAGTGTCGTCAATTCCAGCCTGAGTTGCATCCCTTGCTTCAGTGTAGATCGCTGATATGCTACAAGAGCCAGCTAGTATGTTCTCTAGGGTTTGCTGCATTGGATAACTGAATCTCTCCACAGCTGCACTTCTTCAATAGAGCCTAATTAACGACTACTGCAAGTACTGTACTATGTCAGCTAAGTACCTTAACAGAACTAATTAACGGGCAGGTTCATTTGTGGTAGTAATAGTATGATCTCCTTGATGGCCAATCAACACAGTTAACAGAACTAATGGGTGCTCTGAATTCTAATATATCCCACAGCCAGACGATTACCACCCTTTTAGCAACAGAATCTACTACTCCCTCCGTCCCATCAAAAAGCGTCTTACATTATGAGGCAGAGGGAGTAGTATATATGAGCTGCTCATCTTGGGCTAATAAATCTATAAAGCACTCGATCAAGCCTCGTCTGTCTATCAGAGTATATATCAGGCTACTTCACCTGGGAACTCAAGAACTCCATGAAGCTGAGATCAGAGTATCTATCAATCAGGCTATACTTCGTCTGTCTATCAGAGTATATACTCCCTCCGTCCGGAATTACTTGTCGTGAAAATGGATAAAATTGGATGTATCTAGAACTAAAATATGTCTAGATACATTCATTTCTTCGACAAGTATTTCCGGACGGAGGGAGTACTATATATCAGGCAAAACTGCATGCTGGCCGGCATCGGGCAGAAACTGCTCCCAGTTGCAGGCGGCCATGTGCTTTGGTAAGCACTCTTTCCAGCTAAGATTAACATAATTCATAGCAAAAAAAAAAGGAGAGAGCATAATGCACAGCAAATTCACTCATGCTGACAACAACATGATGCATAGGAGTTTTATGTGAAACAGCAGTTGGACGAACCAGAGAGACTTACTAGATAGCTATACTGACAATTGGCTAATTCGATCTGTTGCGTCCAAACATATCCCACATAGAACTTGTCTTGCCACAAACAACCTTACCAAGCATGCATTCTACAGCTCGCCGAATACGTTTTTTAGCTGCTGCACAGACAACCTTACGACAACACAAAAAGTCTAGCTTACCAGTGGTCTTGCACAAGAGATACAAACTTAACTTACATGGATGATCCTTTCTGCTTTGTAGTAGTACTGGAGATCAAAAGGGTCGGCAAACCCAAAATAAGAAGCTATCTTGGTGCTGTAAGCAGGACCTCCCCCGCCAGTGCGCGGGCTCTTGAAGAGCTCTAGTTGGCAAGCTTTGCTGTTCCATTTCGCACCCGTCAGAGGCTTCAGCTTGGCATTCACACCATCATCCCCCAGAGAGAAACATTCCACAGCAACCACGACCACCATCTGCTCCAGCACCCGCCCTGTCTCCGCGATGAACTTGAGGAAAGCAACCTCGCTTCTCGACCCTCGGAACTCATAGAAGAACACCTTCTTCAAGCTCTGAAGGACGCATTTGATGGGACCATCCTCCTGCCAGAACTTGAGATTCACCTTGCCAGTGGGCTCTCCAGATAAGGTGGGGGACTGCAAATTTAATCAATCAGTGCATACATAGTTGGATGATAGATACATATAATCTTAAAATGCAGCAGCAGCAGGCAATCAATCATAAAACTAACTTATTCACAGCTCTTGACCATGCTAGATATACAATCAATTATGACCATGCTAGATATACCATAGCCACTAGTATTGCAAAATTGCCAATGCAGCAAGTGTGTCTAGTTAAGTTAACCGAACTGTGGTTTCAGGATGTCCCAGAGAGTGTATCAATGTTATTAGCTGCAGATTGTATCTCTATTAACTAATCAATAAAGTTCCCGTTTTCAGCGCAAAAAATAAAAGTTGACCAATTTTACATGGACATGGAGCGTCTCCAGGTTTGGGAAGCATCTGAGGAAGCCAGGCACTTTCTTCACAGTGCTGCGGACACCGAACTGCACCACCATGGCCAAAATCTGGACACTAGGGACAATGTTCTCCTTGTTCCCAGCCTGCAATGCGCCCAAGGACAGATAAACTAATTGGCATTATCAATTTACATAGGTACAGACATGCAAATCAAATTGGCATACCACTATGATGGTGTTGCTAATCCCCAATTCCTGCCCTCCTGGCTCAAGGTATCCCAGCACACGCAGGTTGGGTGCATGGCCAATCTTGATCCAGGAAGGGCGTTTCTTGTTGCCGGGGGGAGTGGGCTCGGCCCTGGGAACAGTTTCCCATTGGAAGAGCCTCTCGAGGCGAGGGGCATCCACCACGTCGATGTACTGCAAGCAGGTAAGGGCCAGTTGAAGACACCGCAGGCTTTGGCTGACGAGGCGGAGGCGCACTCCGGTTTGGCTCCACATGATAAGGAGAAACTCCAGGACGGGGCTTCTTTCCAGCATGAAGGCTAGATCACGGTCCTCCATGACATTCATGCAGAGGCCGAGCTCCAGGAGGTTGGGGAATCTGGCGCCGCGCGGTACGGCTGTGGTGTCCGGGAGCCTCCAGACGCCGAGATAGAGGCGGGTGAGGGCGGCGCAGCTGAAGAGCGTGGCGGGGAGGCGCAGGTCCATCGGCCAAGGGCGGTTGACAAAGACGAGTTCTTTGACCCCCTTGGCGACGAGGATGTCGAGCCAGCGCGATAGCTCGCCCCGGTGCTCCTCCATCGTGCTGCAGGTAAGGTGGACGCAGCGGAAGGGCCCCGGATGCGCCGCGAGGGCGCTGGCCACGGCGGCGGTGACGGCGCGGGGAGAGGGAGCGCCGATGATGAGAGGCCCGGACGCGCCGCCGTCCGGAAGCAGGTGGCTGTCGACAAGAGTAAGGGGAGCCGAGCGCCAGAGCGGGCGCCAGCTCGAGGCGAGGGCGGCGGTGCGCGCGGCGTCCTTGGCGGGGAGGCGGGAGATGATGTCGAGGAGGACCACGTCGGGGAGGCGGCTGATGCGGTCGACGCCGTCGGGGACCCTGGAAGCGCCGGCGAGCGAGATGGTGGCGGTGGGGGAGACGGGCGGCTTCGGGAGGTAGCCGTACAGGATGTGGAGCATCATGTTGGTGCCGAGATCCAGCGACTCAGGGTCCTGGCCGCGGCGCTCAAGGTCGGCACGCATATCGCTCCTAGAGACGCTCCCGGAGGGGCCGATGATCACTCGCGGGTCCGTCTCCATGGCCGCCGGTGGAGGGGGAGGGAGGTGACGGCGAGGGTTTGGTATGGGGAGCAATGGGAATGGAGGCGGCGCTGTTGGAGTGAGTGGTGGTGGTGAGCAGAATGTTGGGCCAAATGTCGGAAGCAGGCATCTCCTCGGCCCATGAACAGCTTCTATGCAAATGTTGATTAGTTTGCACATACATTAGTTTGCAATCACATCATTTTCTCAAAACAATAAATAAAATAGCAATCACATGACATAGTTTGCACATGAACTATGTGTAAGGACATACAAATTTGGTCATAGCATCACATCACATAGTTTGCCATGAACTATGCGTAAAATGCATCACATTTTGGTCAAGTAGCAATCACATCACATAATTTGCAGTTTGATGTATAAACTTGGACATACAAGTTTGGTCGATTAGTTTACCATGCACTATGTGTAAACCGCGTCAAAATTTGCGGGAAGTGAGCGTCCAGGGACGAACCTGATGTGCTGCTACTGCTAGTTGTTGATGGAGCTCTTCCCCTTCTATGCAAAGAGGATGGATGCAGGAGCGGCCTGCATGGAGGGCGCCATGGACGGAGGCACCGATGGGATCTTTGAGTTGCTGCTTGTCATCAGCGGCGACGCTAGGAATCGGCAGCGACCCAGGCAGCCTTCGTTAACTGTAGCTACTGTAGGTACAGTAACGCTACAGTCAACGAAGCAACCTGCGCTCACGCCCCAGGCAGCTGCCCGGGCTGCCTGGGGCCTGTCTCCGCCACTGCTTGTCATGGCTATGGTTGTTGTTGTCACTATCGTGGCTATGGTGGTGATGCATGGGAGAAGAAGCATGACGAAGAGGACATGCGCGAGGAAGCCCTGGAACTCAGAGCTCCTGCTTCTACATGTCGAGGGGTGCTTCTTCTCCATCGTCTTGTAGAAGTGCGGCTTCACCACAACCCCCAGCGTATGCGTCGTCGTATCCCGCGCCACCATCACTACAAAAAAAGACACATCCGTGACATTTTGGCCCGAAAGATTTTTTTCTGTCATGCTTATGACACTTCTATGACGATAATTGTGACAAAAACACGTATCATCATAGATGTGGTGGGATCCTACTTCTATGATAAAAAATCATGACAGAAATTGAGCTTTTCGTCATGGGCGGGCCGGAGACGCAGTTGTATGACATTCTTTGGGCCGACCATGACGGAAAAAATCATGGTAGAAACGAGGGCGAGGAAAATACCGGGGAGTTCCCGGTTACGGTGGGTTTCCGCCTCTTCGCCCTATAAATTGCTAAATATTCCAAAAACCCTGGGGATAACCCTAGATCAAAAGTTCTGCCGCCGCAAGCCTCTGTAGCCACAAAAAACCCAATCTAGACCCCGTTTCGGCACTCCGTCGGAGGGGAAAACCATCACCCATGGCCATCTTCAACATCCCAGCGGCCACCATGATGAGGAGGGAGTAGTCCACCCTCAGGACTGAGGGTTTGTACCAGTAGCTATGTGTTTAATCTCTCTCTCTCTCATGTTCCTGAGATGTCACGATCTTGATGTATCACGTGCTTTTTTAATATAGTTGGATCATATGGTGTTTTCCCCTCTCTATCTCGTTGTGAATTGAGTTTTCCCTTTGAGATTTCATTTTATCGGATTGAATACTTTTATGGATTTGAGAGCACTTGATGTATGTTTTGCTATGAATACCCGTGGTGACAATGGGGTATCATATTGATTCACATGATATGTGTTTCGGCACTCAACTCGCGGATTCCCGAGGTGACATTGGGGTAATCTATGCATAGCGGTTGATGCACGCTCTCGTCTTTGTTTCTCTGGTAGAAATCTTGGGGCACTCTTTGAGGTTCTTTGTGTTGGATTGAGTATTATGAATTTGAAATTGTTTGATGCATATCGTATAATCAACTCACGGATACTCGTTGTGACATTGGAGTATCTAGGTGACATTAGGGTTGGTTGTGTTGGGGAACGTAGTAATTTCAAAAAAGAAATCCTACGCACACGCAAGATCATGGTGATGCATAGCAACGAGAGGGGAAAGTGTAATCTACATACCCTTGTAGACCGAAAGCAGAAGCGTTAAAACAACGCGGTTGATGTAGTCGTACGTCTTCACAGCCCGACCGATCAAGCACCGAAACTACGGCACCTCCGAGTTCTAGCACATGTTCAGCTCGATGACGTCCCTCGAACTCCGATCCAGCCGAGTGTCGAGGGAAAGTTCCGTCAGCATGACGGCGTGGTGACGATCTTGATGTTCTACCGTCGCAGGGCTTCGCCTAAGCACCGCTACAATATTATCGAGGAGGACTATGGTGGAGGGGGGCACCGCACACGGCTAATAGATCTCAAAGATCAATTGTTGTTGTGTCTTTGGGGTGCCCCCTGCCCCCATATATATAGGAGCAAGGGGGAGGCGGCCGGCCTATGGAGGAGGCGCACCAAGGGGGGAGTCCTACTCCCACCGGGAGTAGGACTCCTCCTTTCCTTGTTGGAGAAGAAAAAAGGAGGAGAGGGAGAAGGAAAAGGGGGCCGGCCCCCTTGTCCAATTCGGACCAGAGGGGGGGCGCAGGCCTCCTTCCTTTTGGCCTCTCTCCTCTATTCCCGTATGGCCCAATAAGGCCCATATACTCCCCGGCGAATTCCCGTAACTCTCCGGTACTCCGAAAAATACCCGAATCACTCGGAACCTTTCCGAACTCCGAATATAGTCGTCCAATATATCGATCTTTACGTCTCGACCATTTCGAGACTCCTCGTCATGTCCCCGATCTCATCCGGGACTCCGAACTCCTTCGGTACATCAAAACTCATAAACTCATAATATAACTATCATCAAAACCTTAAGCGTGCAAACCCTACGGGTTCGAGAACAATGTAGACATGACCTAGAACTATTCTCGGTCAATAACCAATAGCGGAACCTGGATGCTCATATTGGCTCCCACATATTCTACGAAGATCTTTATCGGTCAAACCGCATAACAACCGTTGTTCCCTTTGTCATCGGTATGTTACTTGCCCGAGATTCGATCGTCGGTATCCAATACCTAGTTCAATATCGTTACTGGTAAGTCTCTTTACTCGTTACGTAATGCATCATTCCGTAACTAACTCATTAGTTACATTGCTTGCAAGGCTTATAGTGATGTGCATTACCGAGAGGGCCCAGAGATACCTTTCCGACAATCGGAGTGACAAAACCTAATCTCGAAATACGCCAACCCAACATGTACCTTTGGAGACACCTGTGGTACCTTTGGAGCGGCACCGGACGGCGGCGGGTGGCTGGGCGACGCCGGGCAGCGGGTGGCGGGGGCGGCGCCGGGCGGCAGGGGCGGCGGTGGGTGTGGATCTGGTGG